GTTGGTCGAGTTCAGAATGCTCTTTGATTGTAGGTGAACTATAAATCCCAACAAATACAACTCCCAAATGTCAAGGTCTATTTTCCCCAGACTCCACCAGTGTTCACATTTGGGCATATTGACTATCTGTGCCAAGTTTGGTCCAGCTCCATCATTGCATGAATCCACAGCACTCCTCTGGATATAGGTGAACTATAACTCCCAAACCCTTCCAGTGTTTTCTGTTGGTCATGGGAGTTCTGTGTGCGAAGTTCGGTTTAAATCCAGCGCTGGTGGAGTTCAGAATGCTCTTTGGTTATAAGTGAACTATAAATCCCAGCAACTACAACTCCCAAATTACAAAATCAATCCTCCCCCCCCCCCAACCCCACTAGCATTCACATTTGGGCATATTGGGTATTTGTGCTCAATTTAGTCCAGTGAATGAAACTCCATCCTACATATTGGATATTTACATTACGATTTATAACAGTAGTAAAATGACAAGTATCAAGTAGCAACGAAAACAATATTATGGTTGGGGGTCACCACAACATATGGAACTGCATTAAGGGGTCATGGCATTAGCACGATTGAGAACCACTGTATTAAATCATTGAATATTTGTGTTTTATGTTTGGAATCCGCCCTGAGTCCCTTATTATTATTATTATTATTATTATTATTATTATTATTATTATTATTATTATTTTGGAAGGAAAGCCTACTGATCCCATTGGAGTGTGTTGCTGTGTGCCGTCAAGTCACACAGACCCAATGAATGAGAGATTTCCAAGAGCCCTTCATACAAACAGCTTTGCTCAGGTCTCACAAACCCAGAGCTGTGATTCAGCCTTCCTTTTTTTCTGCTGATTTCAACATTACTGAGTACTGTCATTTTCTCCCAGTGAAATATGTTTCGTGATATGTCTGAAGTATGACAGTCATTTCCGCTTCCAGTGAGATTTCAGGTTTCATTTACTCTCAGACCCATTTGTCTTTTCAGTGGTTCGTTGTACCCGTAGGCTCTTCTCCGGTGCCACATTTCAAATGAGTTCTCCCCCCTGGCACTTTCTTTGCTGTCCAGCTTTCTCATCCATCCATCCAAACCAGAAATACTACAGAATGGATGATCCCAAACCTGAGGCTGTTGAAATTTCCATTGACCCATGAATGGCCCCAATTATTTTCACTCCAGAAAATTATGTGCAGCACATACACCGAAAAAGTGTTGAAAGAGGCAATATAGTATTTTGAGTTTTTGGGCTCCAAAAATCACTACTCAGTCATGGAAACTCGTGGAATACAGGTACTCCCCAAGTTATGAACAAGATAGGTTCTGTAGGTTTGTTCTTGTTGGAAATAGTAACTTTCTTCAAGCCTCCACTAGTAATTTTTTGTATATAATTCAGGTTATTTACTATATTGTATAGTAACTTACTATATTGTATATTGTGTATTAGTATGCAGTTTTCCTTAACTCTATGTTGTGGGAGGGACTGCAGACTACAAGACCAGATCTGGGACTATTCAGAACTCAGACTCCATTTTAGAATGTAGAGACTTCAGTAGAAACAGTATGCTTTTAAAAGTCTGTAGAAACAGACTGTATTAATATGCAGTGTTCCTTAACTCTATGTTGTGGGAGGGGCTGTAGACTATGTGACCAGATCTGGGACTATTCGGGACTCAGACTCAATTTTAGAATGAGAGACTTCAGTAGAAACAGTATGCTTTTAAAAGTCTGTAGAAACAGACTGTATTAGTATGCGGTTTTCCTTAACTCTATGTTGTGGGAGGGGCTGCAGACTATGTGACCAGATCTGGGACTATTCGGGATTCAGACTCCATTTTAGAATCTAGAGACTTCAGTAGAAACAATATGCTTTTAAAAGTCTATAGAGACTGTATTAATATGCAGTTTTCCTTAACTCTGTGTTGTGGGAGGGGCTGCAGACTATGTGACCAGATCTGGGACTATTCAGGACTCAGACTCCATTTTCGAATCTAGAGACTTCAGTAGAAACAGTATGCTTTTAAAAGTCTATAGAGACTGTATTAATATGCAGTTTTCCTTAACTCTGTGTTGTGGGAGGGGCTGCAGACTATGTGACCAGATCTGGGACCATTCAGGACTCAGACTCCATTTTAGAATGTAGAGACATCAGTAGAAACAGTATGCTTTTAGAAGTCTGTAGAAACAGACTGTACAGACTCTATTAGACTCTCAGAACAGAGAGATATGTTAGACTTTGGACTGTTGATCAAAGCATCTAACAGAGGTGCTTTCAATGCAATTTTCCTGTATTTTGGCAGGGGGTTGAACAGGATGGCCCATGAAGTCTCTTCCAACTCAATGATTCTATGATTATAAGAAAGATGCCCTGTGTTATCTACACAGATAAACAACTTTGTCCCAGTCCTCAAACACTCTCTGCTTCATTCGGAAAAATGCTGCAAGTCAGTCGGTGTTGTATTTTGGTGTCGATGTTGACTTTGGTGGAGAGGTGGCTACCAAGGTAGCAGAAATGATCAACATTTTCTAATGTTACACCATTAAACTGTATTTCTGTCATTGGAGAGGGATTGGCTGGTGACTGCTGGAAGAGCACTTTGGTTTTCTCGGTGTGCAATGACAGGCCGAGCTTCTCATATGCTTCTGCGAAGGTGTTTAGAGTGGCTTGTAGGTCTTCTTCTGAATGTGCACAGACGACATTGTCATCAGCATACTGCAGTTCTATAACAGATGTTGTAACCTTTGTTTTGGCTTTCAGTCTGTGTTATCGCCCCAACTTTATTCTCCATCTTCATCGCTATGATACTTCACCTTGTTGATGGGAAGCTTCCCAACGGAGCTGGGATTTATAGTACATCTTCAACCATAGTCAAAGCCATGGTATTCCCTGTAGTAACCTATGGATGTGAGAGCTGGACCTTAGGGAAGGCTGAGCGAAGGAAGATCGATGCTTTTGAGCTGTGGTGTTGGAGGAAAGTTCTGAGAGTGCCTTGGACTACGAGAAGATCCATCCAGTCCATCCTCCAGGAAATAAAGCCCAACTGCTCACTGGAGGGAAGGATAGTAGAGGCAAAGATGAAGTACTTTGGCCACATCATGAGGAGACAGGAAAGCCTAGAGAAGGAACATGTTACTAATTAAGAAAGGAAGAGGGGCCGACCAAGGGCAAGATGGATGGATGGCATCCTTGAAGTGACTGGACTGACCTTGAAGGAGCTGGGGGTGGTGACGGCCGACAGGGAGCTCTGGCGTGGGCTGGTCCATGAGGTCACAAAGAGTCGGAGACAACTGAACGAATGAACGACAACTTCAACCATATAGCATTCTGAACCCCACCAATGATTGAATTGGGTCAAATTTCCTACACAGAACTCCCATGAGCAACAGAAAATACTGTGTTTACTGATGGCCTTTGGCGACCCCTCTGACCCCCTCACGACCCCCCCCCGGGTCCTAACCCTTCTAAGCCTTAGACAATATATTGAACCTTTTTGTTCCTGAGTTCCACAAGTCCTATCCTCACCTTGCTTGTATGCTGGTCGCTTCTGTATACAGAGTCACTCTGGACCGTCATCTTACCTACAAGAAGTACTGCCTGAACATCAAGCAAAACTTGGGTGCTAGAAACAATATCATATGAAAGCTGACTGGCACAACCTGGGGATCACAACCAGAAACAGTGAAGACATCTGCCCTTGCGCTGTGCTACTCTGCTGCTGAGTATGCATGCCCAGTGTGGAACACATCTCACCACACTAAAACAGTGGATGTGGCTCTTAATGAGACATGCCGCATTATCACGGGGTGCCTGCGCCCTACACCACTGGAGAAATTACACTGCACCACCTGACATCCACCGGGAAGTAGCAGCCAATAGTGAAAGGACCAAGGCAGAGACATCTCCAGCTCATCTCGTTTGGGTATCAGCCAGCACATCAATGACTTAAATCTAGAAATAGTTTTCTAAGATCTACAGAGACACTCGCTGGAACACCCAGCAAGCGAGAGTCCAAAAGTGGCAGGCTCAAACCCAGAACCTCAACCAATGGCTGATACCAAATGAGAGACTCCCCCCTGGGCACACAGAAGACTGGGCGACTTGGAAGGCGCTGAACAGACTGCGCTCTGGCACCACGAGATGCAGAGCCAACCTTAAGAAATGGGGCCACAAAGTGGAATCCTCGACATGTGAGTGTGGAGAAGAGCAAACCACTGACCACCTGCTGCAATGCAACCTGAGCCCTGCCACATGCACAATGGAGGACCTTCTTGCAGCAACACCAGCACTCCAAGTGGCCAGATACTGGTCAAAGGACATTTAATCAACTACCAAACTCACAAATTTTGTATTTTGTCTGGTTTTTTTTGGTTGTTTTTTTTTTTTTGCTTTGTTCTGTTAGAAATGTAATATAACCGATTAGTTGCATTGACACGATAAATAAATAGTCCATGACATTTGGGAGTTTGGGTTGCTGGGATGTATAGTTCACCTACAACCAAAGAGCATTCTGAACCACACCAAAGATAGAATTGGGTCAAATTTCCTACACAGAACTCCCATGAGCAACAGAAAATACTGTGTTTACTGATGGCCTTTGGCGACCCCTCTGATCCCCCCTCACGACCCCCGGTCCTAACCCTAAGTTCTAAGCCTTCGACAACACATTGAACCTCTTTTTGCTCCTGAGTTCCACAAGTCCTATCCTCACCTTGCTTGTAGATTGGGCGTTAAGTTTTTTTCCTGCATCCAAATGATCCCTTTTCCAAAGGGAAGGTGCCCCTTGGTGTGGTTGGCACGCCTTTGCCCTGTGCCCCACAGGATGCCCTCTCCCAACCCCTTGGTGGGGGCTTCAGGAGGATGCTTAGCAGCCTCAGGCGTGGAGAAAGGGAAGGGAGGTTGGGGGGGGGGGGTCCAGGAAAGCAAGCGCATGCTTAGAAAGGGGCGCCGGCTTCCTGGCTGCCAGCCTGGCGCAAATGGCTGTGGGAGGGCCAGGGAAGAGGAGGAGGAGGAGGAGGAGGAGGTAGTGGCAGAAGCAGCAGCAGCGGGTGAAGTGAAGCCAAGCCGCGCGTGGGGACTTCGTGGGCTGGCAGAGAAGAAGAGGAGAAGGAGGAGAGGGCTTTGAGCGAGCAAGGAGCATTGCCGGAGAGAGAAGGAGGCAAGAAGGAGGAGAAGGAGGAAGAGGCAGAGGCAGAGGCAGGCAGCTCAGCCGCATCAGGTCGCTCGCTCGCTGCGCCTTTTGTCGGGAGGAGAAGCCTCCGCCGTGGGACGCCTCCACGGGTGAGCTTTGCCCTCGCGTGCCCCTTGGTGGGTGTGGCTGGCCCAGTGGACACGGAACAGGGAAATGGGGGGACCCCCTTTGCGCCTGAATTCCCTCCTTCCACCCTTCCCTCCTAGTTTCCACCCGTGTCTTTGATCCCACTCGAGTTCTGCGTGGGACTCCCTCTCCGACGGAGCCTTGTGCCCTCGTTATTACGGATATCGATATTACTAATAGCAATGTCTATTCCCAGCTGACCTTCGTCTCTTTTTTTTGCTCCCCACTCGAGTTCAGGGTGGGACTCATTCTCACGTTGTCTCTGCTGATGGGAAGCTTTGTGGTCATATTAGTATATCACTATTACCATTATTCCTATTAGTAGTAGTATTATTATTGCCATTATTATTCTTGTTAATATTACCACTATCATTAATATTATTATTACCATTAGTATTATTTTAGTCTCATTATTATTAGTATTATTACTAATCTACTAATGGTAATAATATTACTATTACCATTATTATTAGTATTATGACCATTATTATTCTTGTTAATATTACCATTATTATTATTACTATTATTATCTTTATGATTATTTTTAGCATCATTACTATTAGTATTATTACTAATCTATTAATGGTAATAATATTACAATTATTACTAAGTATTGAATCCCACCCATGGGAGAAAAACGGGATAAAAATAAAATAATAATAATAATAATTGTAATAATACAATTATTATTATTCTTGTTATTATTATTATCATAACCTATTAATGGTAATAATATTACAATTATTACTAAGTATTGAATCCCACCCATGGGAGAAAAGCAGGATAAAAATAAAAATATAATAATAATAGTAATGACACAATTATTATTACTATTAGTATTGTTACCATTATTCTTACCATTATTACTATTATTATTACAATTATTATCACAATTTTTATTATCAACAACACCATTACTATTATTATTACCATTTATTATTGTATTACCATTATTATTACTATTAGTATTATTATTACCATTATTATAAATGATAATATCACAATGATTATTAATATTATTGCCATTATTATTAGTAGTACTAGAATCATTGCGATTAGTATTATTGCCATTATCATTATTAGCATTATTATTATATGACTTTATTTGTATTCCACCCTATCTCTATTAAGGGGCTCATTATTATTACAATTATTATTATCACAATTTTTATCATCACCACCATTACTATTATTACCATTATTATTGTTGTTGTTGTTATTATCAACATTATTATTGGGTTGTTGTAGGTTTTACAGGCTATATGGCCATGTTCTAGAAGCATTCTCTCCTGGTGTTTCACCTGCATCTATGGCAAGCATCCTCAGAAGATGCTTGCCATAGATGGAGGCGAAACGTCAGGAGAGAATGCTTCTAGAACATGGTCATATAGCTCGAAAAAACTACAACAACATAGTGATTCTGGCCATGAAAGCCTTCGACAATACATCATCATCATCATTATTATTATTATTATTATCATCACTATTATTAATATTATTACCATTGTTATGATTATTTCTATTACTATTTTTCCCCACTTTCTCCCCATAATGGGACTCCTCCCAGAGGCTCAGAGCGTATTCGAAACAATGCAAGTTCAACACAATGTATATATTTGCTGGGAAAGCCTCCTTAAGAAACCAAAGCAGCCCATCTGCTTCTTAAAAAGGAGACGAAGGGGATTTTTCTCCTTCTTGGGGTCTCTTCTAATGGGAGGTTTTTTCCCCCTTCCCTTTGTGGCTCGGTCTCTCTGGGCTCTTTCTTTGCTGGATCGTGTGTTCCTCTCCATTCTCTGTTTTCTGTTACCGGAATGGGAAGATGGGGGCTGTGTGTGTTTTCAGCAGATGCAGAAAGAGAAATGAATGCTGGTTACGGGGAATCTCTTATCCGAAATGCTTGGATTTCGAGTTTGGTTGTTTTGTTTGGAAATATCTGTGTGAACACAAGATTCAAGACCCAAGTGTCAACAGATTTCATTTCTGGTTTCCTATACCATCACTCCATTCATTTATGCATATATCCCTTACTAGCTATCCCCTGCCACACATTGCTGTGGCCCAGTCTGTGTATATGTGTTTTGCATGTGTATATATGTGTGTTTGCATATATATACATATGTGGTTTTGCGCATGCGTTATAATGGGGTTTTGGGGGGCTTTTTAAGTATTTTCTGCTGTGTTTTTCTGTGTTTTTATGAGTGATGGTCACTTGTTGGCCTGATATGCGTACCGTGTCCAAATTTAATCATAGAATCATAGAATCACAGAGTTGGAAGAGACCTCATGGGCCATCCAGTCCAACCCCATTCTGCCAAGAAGCAGGAATATTGCATTCAAATCACCCCTGACAGATGGCCATCCAGCCCCTGTTTAAAAGCTTCCAAAGAAGGAGCCTCCACCACACTCCGGGGCAGAGAGTTCCACTGCTGAACGGCTCTCACATTCAGGAAGTTCTTCCTCGTGTTCAGATGGAATCTCCTCTCTTGTAGTTTGAAGCCATTGTTCCATTGCGTCCTAGTCTCCAGGGAAGCAGAAAACAAGCTTGCTCCCTCCTCCCTGTGGCTTCCTCTCACATATTTATACATGGCTATCATATCTCCTCTCACTTCTCTTCTTCAGGCTAAACATGCCCAGCTCCTTAAGCCGCTCCTCATAGGGCTTGTTCTCCAGACCCATGATCATTTTAGTCGCCCTCCTCTGGACACATTCCAGCTTGTCAATATCTCTCTTCAATTGTGGTGCCCAGAATTTGGGGTTAATTCGTCCAGTGGTTTTTGAGTTATGTTAATCCCACAAATGAACATCACATTTTTTTATTTATATAAGACTAGATGTACCCGCCATGCGTAGCTGTGGCCAACCTTCCTTCCCTCTTTCTCTCCTCCTTTCTTTCTCTCCTTCCTTGCTTCCCTCTTTCCTTCCTTCCTTCTTTCCTTCTCTCCTTCCTTCCTTCTCTTCCTCTTCCCTTCCTTCCCTCCACTTTTCTTTCCCTTCCCCTTTCTCCCCTTTCTTCCTTCTCTATCTATTCTTGGACTGCAACTCCCAGCAGTCCCCCAGATCTACCTACCTACCTATCTCTATCTAATCTATCTGGAGGATTGCTGGGAGTTGCTGTCCAGGAACGGGAAACTTCGGAAATATGCAGGGGTTTGGATGCTCTCAAAGAAATCCAAGGAGAAGAAAGCTTGCAGCTTGGAAGCGGTGCATTTGGATCATCCTCCTCTCCTAAAGGGCCTGGTCTAGGGGATGCTGGGAGCTGTAGTCAGGAAGAGAGTGTGGATATGCTATTGTGTGTTTTGTTTGCCAGGGGAGTCGTTTTTGTGCATGCGCTGTAGCATCTTTTTGCATTTTTGTCTTTTGAAGTACCTTCCACTGTGTTTTTCAGTATTTTTATGAGTGATGGTCAATCATTGGCTTCACATATGTATTGTGTCCAAATTTGGTGTCAATTCATCCATTGGTTTTTGAGTTATGTTAATCCCACAGACAAACATTACATTTTTATTTATATAGACTAGCCGTCCCCTGCCACATGTTGCTGTGGCCCACATGGAGGGTTCTGTGTGGGAGGTTTGGCCCAATTCTATCGTTGGTGGGGTTCAGAATGCTCTTTGATTGTAGGTGAACTACAAATCCCAGCAACTACAACTCCCAAATGTCAAGATTCTATTTTCCCCAAACTCCACCAGTGTTCACATTTGGGCATATTGAGTACTCCTGTAGAGTTTGGTCCAGATCCATCATTGTTTGAATCCACCGTGATCTCTGAATGTAGGTGAACTACAACTCCAAAACCAAAGGACACTGCCCACCAAACCCCTCTAGTATTTTCAGCTGGTCATGGGAGTTCTGTGTGCCAAGTTTGGTTCAATTTCATAGTTGGTGGAGTTCAGAATGCTCTTTGATTGTAGGTGAACTATAAATCCCAGCAACTACAACTCCCAAATGACAAAATCAATTTTTTTTGAGTGAGGTCACTCCTTGGGTTAGTAGGTGTCTTGTGTCCAAATTTGGTGTCAATTCGTCCAGTGGTTTTTGAGTTCTGCTAATCCCACAAACAAACATTACATTTATTTTTATTTATATATGTGTGTGTGTGTGTGTGCGTGTGTGTGTGTGTGTAATGTTTGTTTGTGGGATTAACAGAACTCAAAAACCACTGGACGAATTAATATATATATATATATATACATACATACATACATACATACGTATATTAGCCGTCCCCTGACATGCATTACTGTGGCCCAGTTGGTGTATATGTGCTTTGTGTGTGTATATGTGTGTGTATATGTGTGCTTGTGTATATATATGTGGTTTTGCACATGCGCTGTAGCGTCTTTTTGTGGTTTTTTTGCTTTTCAAGTCTCTTCCACTGTGTTTTTCAGTGTTTTATGAGTAATGGTCACTTACTGGCCTGATAGGTGTCTTGTGTCCAAATTTGGTTTCAATTCGCCCAGTGGTTACTGAGTTATATTAATCCCACAAATGAAGATTACATTTTTATTTATACAGATATCGCCCTTATATATAGGTAAATGTCTACTTAATGTTTTGTGCATGAAACAAAGTTTGTGTACATTAACCCATCATAGAGCAAAGGGGTCACAATACTTTTGGATCTCAAATAAGGGATGCTCAACCCGTATCAATGAGTTGTGGACTCTGGCTGGGAATGTTTGATGTTGGAAATAAGGAGGGAGGGGAGCCACAAATGTTTCCACTTGTGTGATTTTTATTGGAAGGGGTTGGAGGTTCCCTTCTTCATCTCTTGCAGAAAATTATTGCAGCTTCGCCAGCTACAAGACAGCAAATAGTATGGGATGCTCCCCATGTCTATATACTCCTTCCACCCCATAAATCTTGTGTGCTTTTTTTTTCTTGCCAGACTTTACAGGTGTTTTCACTGTCCAATTATTCTCCCAGCTGGGCGCTCAGCACACTTCTTGCTTTGCTAGGCTGA